TTCAAAAAAACCAGAGTTCTTTAACATTTTTTCTCTTTGATGAATTCTATCAACTCATTCTAAGAAAATCTATTTTAAAGGTCCACAAAATTGTATCATTAAAATGCTGCAAAGATTGTCCTGCAGTCTCCTGTGAAAAGCAGAATTATATTCCCAAATGCCTACTATGTGCCAACCAGGAGACCACTGAGCCTGTCATAATGCAGCAGCACCATATTTTCTCAGATATGGTGTCTTGAGGAAAGGGCCAGGGAGGACTGGCCTGGCTGTATACCTGTGCCGCCGCTTCTTCCTCTTGCCAGGCGTGGGGGACACTTTCAGGTCACTCCTGTCTTCAGATGGACTGTCCTCATCTGTTAGCACAGGATAAAAGAGAGGACGTTAAAGGTGAGCACATTACCTTTTTTTTTAACTAGTTTTTTTTTTAATATTTTTATTTATTTCTAGGAGAGAGAGAGAGAGGCAGCATGAACAGGGGAGGGTCAGAGAGAGAGGGAGACACAGACTCTGACATAGGCTCCAGGCTCTGAGCTGGCAGTCAGCACAGAGCCCGACGCGGGGCTCGAACCCACGAACCGCGAGATCATGACCTAAGCGAAAGTCGGACGCTTAACCGACTAAGCCACCCAGGAGCCCCTTTTTTTAATTATTTTTAAAGATGAACACATTTTTCACTTTCTTCTTTGTATTTTAATATGAGGATTGAAATTATGATTCTGCTGGGGTATGTGAGTATTTAACAATGAGCACTAGCATTTTTAGCAGTCACTATATTCCAGTCACTGTGCTTAGCATCATCTGTGCATTATCACAATTATTCTTTGTAAAAGACCTCCAAGGTAGCTACTAGTATTATTCTGTTTTTACAGATGAGGAAACTGAGATGCAGAGAGATTAAGTAACTTGCCCACAATCACATAGGTAGTACATGGTGAAGTCGGAATTCAAGCCCCAGACTGCATGAAGCTACTTGGCCATTCATAGATAGAGAATCCCCACTTAGCTCCCAAATGCATCCACTTCTTTCTGCCTCCAACTCCTCATGTTAACCAACAAGCCAACATTTCTCTAAATGGGGTACTGAGGTTTGACATCATAACCCTGGTCAGAACTGCACTCCCTGCTCTCCTGTACCAATTGCGGATCCAGGAAACTCACTCTTGACAAGATCTAGTGGTATTTTTCCTTCATAGAGGAAAAAGTTCATCCTATGAAGGTGATTTTTGCATTTTTAATGAAACCACTAATAGAAAGTGTCATTTTATCTTACACAGAGACTCATGAAGTTGTTGTTTGTTTGTTTTTTTTTTTTAAGTTGAGTGAAAATTTGCTTGCCTGCTGAACTGGCATACTTACTTTTATTACATTATTTTTAGTTTCAGTGGACAGACCCAATGAACCTTTTTTGCCTTGGCTGCCTGGATGCTCAGCTCTAGGTTTTAACATATAGTTTCTCTCAGTCTGCATTTTCTTGTATAATTCTCCGTTTTATTCCCCCACCCCCACCCCAAATCTCTCAATATCTTGGTCTTTGCTCTTTATAGAAATTCATTGCCTCCTTCTCTTTCCTCGTAATGCACCTCAACTCAGTTGAAGAAATAGCTGGGCTCGGAACAACATGCTGAGCATAGCTGCAATGAAAGTGGCAAGGTTGCTTCTTTTCTCACATGTGCGAAAGGAGGGAAGGCAACCGCGAGGAGAAAAGCGGGGTAGCTAAGCTCCCTTTTCAGCACCCCAAAGGAGGACAGTTCCAGGCCTCCCGACCCTGCGCTCTTCACTCAATCGAACAAACCTTTGAGCCTCCGTGGGGTACTGGGTTCTACGCTGGTGATAAACAGGTACTTCCTGGCCTCCCCGACCTCTGCCTTTTGCAGAGGCCGAGACTCACGCGGGGCGCTAGGGAAAAATCCTCAGAGAACGCTGCTTGGTCGCCGAGACCCCCGTGGTAGGTCCGGAACGGAGTGGTAGTGTACCGGCTGTGCTGCGGAACCAGGCCCCGGAGGAGAGGCCGAGATTTAGGGAAAGACAAGGGGCAGGGAGCGAGGCTGAGTGAATACGCCTCCCCCGACGGGCCACGCTCTGGGGTCCCGACTTCCCTTAGATCCGGGATAACAGGAGTAGGGGCTCAGTGAGACGATGGTGAGTTACCCAAGCCTGAGAAAACAGGAGCAAGAGCCCAATGGTCTGGCCTGATTACCGGACGTCGAGACGCTGTAGCTGTTCTTCTGGCTGCCGAGCGGGGGCGGCGGGCGACCAGGGGCCTGCGGGGCCGCGGATTCAGGCGCCTCGGGTGGCAGGAACGGCACGTCTGCCAGGAGCAGGCAGGGCGCCCGAGGGGCCGCGGGCGGCTGCGCGCCGAAGCCGCGGAGAAGGCCAAGCCCCAGCGGGAGGGCCCCACGCGCCGTGCAGGAGCCCGCGAGACCCGGACTCGTACAGGGCGCGGCCGCGGAGGACTCGCAGCCGGATCCTGGCCCCGGGCCGGCAGGCGCGGGCACCTCAGCTTCCAGGCCCAGCAGATCAGTGATGGCGAAGCCGCGGGGGCGCGAGCCGCGGGGGGAGCTGCCTGGCACCAGCGCCCTGCTCCCGGAGCGCCCGTCGGAAGGTGCGTCCCGGCATGCCATGGCCTCTCAGTCGGCGAGGCTCGACTTTCTCTAGGTCACCTTTGCGGAGTGGGCACAGCTCGCAGGGTGCTTTATACTCCCGGATAGTCCGTCGGGCGCGGAAGGCCGGCGGGGGGGGCGGGGGGGCTCCAATCGGTGCGGCGCGGACGCGTCATCGCCCAGGACCCTGCGAGATGGGGCCGCCACCAGTTTCCCTCCCCTCGGTCGCCGCCCTCCCAGCTGCAGTCCCCTCAGTCACCTCCTTCTCTCCCCTCTCCAGCTGTCCCCCTGCCCAATCCCCACCCGACAGCCTCCTCCCCCGGTTTCCGTGAGGGCACGATCCCGTTATCTGCTGGTTCCTCTAGAAGCCGCAGCTTCCAGGCCCCGGAGGGGTCTTCCGTTTCCTTCCAGATTCTTTAGGTGGAGGTCTCCCTCCCTCACAGTTGCCCCGAAGCCTCCCTCCCAAGGCCCGGTAGCTCATTAAGTCCTAGGGCCTCATTCCCAGCCCCACTACCACCAAGATGACACACGACAGCCTTCAATTCCACTGCCAGAGCCAAGGCCTTCCCTGAAAATCTCCAAAGGGAGACGAATGGAAAACGTTTATTTAATCCATGCCCACCCCACCTCCAGCCAAATTCACCCCCAGCTCCCCAATGGCGGAGCTGTGGCGGCTGCAAAACTCCTAAGACCTGGGAGAAGGAGAAGTAGGGAGAAGCAGATACAGAGTGGATTAAGGAAAGGTGCCTGGTTTACCAAACAAAAATACTGGAAGTCCAGTGAAATTTGAATTTCAGATAAACAATGAACTTTTATTTTAGTGTAAGTATGTATCTAACCATTCTAAATGGGGGGGGGTAAACTGGAACATAGGACCCGTCTACTGGGGGACACCCCTCTTCACAGAGGCAAACAAATTACTGTCAGATTTTACAATTATTCTAAGAAAGCCTGATTTTCCTGTAAATTCCCTGATTTGTTAAAGTTGGTGCCAAACAAAGCACGTGAGTAAGCCATTCCTGACTCACAAATAAAATTTGAATCCACCCAACCCGAATCACTGGAAACCCTGAGCCTACCCTTCACAAACACAGAACCCTGGAAACAGAATCTCCTCAGTCCCACCCCCTGAGGGCCCGGCGGTCTGTGGTCACCGAGCGAGCGAGGTGGCAACTCCCTGAGCCCACGCGGACATGGGGGGCCCCCTGAGCGCGCAGGAGAGAGCCCCGAGTCCGCAAAGTAGGTCTCCTCTCCTTCACCTTCAAGTGGGGCCACTGTTAAACATGCAGATTAAACGAGGGGCTTCGGATAAAGATAATTACAAGAGGCTGCGCATTAACTTTCCATTATTAAAGGAAGACCCAAATCTCCCCCCTCGCAAGCTGTTCCTGGGATTAGCAAAACAATAACTTTCCTTTGGGATAATTGTCATTTAAATCGTTCCGGGTTGGGGCGGCTTTAGACGCCAGCGTCGTTTTCGGCTCCGCCAGGAATTCCTCCCCAAATTTATCTCCAGGTTTAAAGGAGGATGCCGGTGGTACACGATCCAGCCAAGGTGCTCTAGGTTTTTGCCCCGCAGAATAGTCGTTTTGTGATTCAGAATTTGGGGCCGCAGTTTAAGAAGACATCTAAAGATCCACACATTTTGCAGACGAAATCCTGGCCCAACAGGCAGAACCGTCGGCCCTACGGTGGCCCAACCCAAGTGACTCGCAAGGAGAGGGTCTAAGAGGCGGCGCCACGGCTCACGCGGCTCCAACAGTCTGGAGTGCGGACAGCTTCCTCACGCCTCCGCTAGGGTGTTGAAGTCTCTCTCCCCTCCCCTCTGCAGAGGAGGCAGGTGATCACCAAGAGGACAAACCTCAAGTGAATAGCCAGGAACTCAGAGGTACCAAAAGGCCAGGAGAAGGAGCCCAAATTCGGCCACCCCCACACGGTGGAGTGAGCCAGGAGCATACCGGTTAAACCCATCTTGAAGGATCTTACAAAACCTCTTTTGCAGATGACAACTGCTGAGGCTTATTACCCCAGTCACACCGGTCACAGATAAAGAGACCGGGAAAGCGAAGCTGAAAGAAAGCCGAGATGGAGCCAGAATCAGAGCTCTCAGGGGACCTTGCAATTCCTGCACAGGTGGGCCTCCTCCAGCTGCACGTGCCGGAAGAGGCCAGCGAGGCCAGGCTGGAGAGACCGCTGAACCCCGGGAGTCTTCCTTTTTACAGTGCGGCGGCTACAGGAACGCCGCGCTCGAGGGCACCCTCAGGGCCTCCTCCCAGTGAGAAGCGCATCCTTCTCCCTTCGCAGCGCTAATCCAAATCCACACTCCCATCCGCAGCAGCTGCGGCAGAAGGTCGCCTAGCGCGCAGGACTCTGCGGGATTCGCTCGCGGCCCGGGCGCCCAAGTATGGGAATGCCGTCACTGGAGCAACACTAAGCTCAACGGTCACCGTGCGGAGAGCGCTGCCAGCCGTTGAGGAGACTGAGAAAGGAGAGGGCGAGTTGGTCCCCGAGTTGGTCCCTACACTCCGCGAGTCCCCTTGCGCCCCTCCCAACAATGGGTAGGAGCCAGCATTTGGGGGAACTTCGCACCCTGACAAAGTGAAGGGTAGGTTCCTCCCAGACCCGTCTCTTCACAAACAAATCTGCAGCCAGAGGCAGAGACCTCTCGCGCCTCCCTCCTCTGGGTTACCCTCAGAGTTGTTTTGGAACCCTAAATCCTTTAAGGGGTCCGGATCTGTCTTCATCAACTGGGATTATCCGGGATTTAACTAATCAATAAATGTTTCTCTGCTCATTATTTTCCAGGGAATGTTTCCATTCCCACCCTGTAGCTAACTAGGAATGTGCGCTCCATTTCCTGGCCTCCCAGGCATCCTGGCTCTTCTCAGCGCCAGGATGACACCAGACCAGGTGTGAGTGGCTGAACAGAGATGCCTCCTCATCTTTTCAAGAGGCCCCTGGCCAGGCTGGCAGCATTGGAGTACAGATACAATAGGAGTGGGATGGACACGGGTGAATATAATGTATTGCCATGTGAGTGCACAAACAAGCCCATTCATTCATTCTTCTGATTTACTTCCTGCCTCTCTGGATGCTCCTTCTGGGTTGCTTTTGTATCTCCCGTCAAAGGCTGTGTAGACACTGTTCTGGCCTGTCCACCTTCTGGTACACTGATCATTTTGCCTGCAGGCAGCCTAGCCTCCAGTGCCAACTCAATCATGTCTTTGCCTGGTGACTTTCTCTGGTCTCCAGAGGCCACTTTGCCCACTAGCCAGAGGTGCCAAGGATTAACATGCTCTGAGAAGCCCTGGACTACCAGCCCCAGGTGGGGCTTGCATTCTATTCTGCTTCCCAGAGGTCCCCAGCAGGGTATGCCCCAGTTACTTGCTAATTATTACATCTCAGTTTGCTTTCTTTCTAGGTGCTGTAGATGCCCCACCCAGACTCCCATTCTTGGGCTCTGGCACCTCCCTCCAGCTGCTGTGACTGTAGACTGCTTACAGCTCACCATTGCCCCTAATGAGAATTGCCCTCTGCTGACAAAAGCTCTTAACCTACACCCTTCTATCCCCACATCCACAATGTTTGACTGACATATCAGACATAATTCAAGGCTACCCCTTGCCTCCACAGGGACAACTCTGCAGAGCCCTTTTTGCTCCAAACCCCTTTCTGCTCACAGTCAGGCCAAGGCTCAGCTGGACCTATGAGTACAACTCTTGTCCAGCTCCTCCCTCTTTTTTGACCTCCCTCACCCCTGAGACCTCTTCAGACCCTTCTCCAATAAAGCTCGTACATCGTACTCTCTGTCCAGCTCTACTTCTAGGGACCTGTTCCCACCTTGCTTCCCCACTCCCCTACTGGTGTTGTCCCAAAGCATCTTCCAGATAAATGACTTATCCTGGAGTGCTTGACTCAGAGCCCACCTCTAGGAAAACCCAAACTCATACATTGTATTTCTCAGGCTTCCTTGGGCACTTTCCTCTCTCCCCCATGTGAGATCCCATGATTCAGTCATCATCTTCTTGCCCCAAACTCCCAAATCTGTCTCTAGCCTGGGTACATGATCCTTCCTACCCATCTAGGGCCTCCTGCACCTCTGTTCCAGTCTCACAGAAGCACCAAAGCATAGCCCACCAGTGCTGAATGCAACATCTGCACCCTCCAGTCTTCATCTTCCCAAGACTTCTTCACCTCCCTCCCAGGGGCCCAAACAGCGCCCTGCCCACCAGGTCTACCTCCAGTCGCCAAAAATAACATGAGTAACAAGGACTGGCATGCCTAAAGTTCTTATTATGGGCAGCCACTATCGCACAGTCCTTATCAAAAGGATCATGTTTCATCCTGACCACAGCTTTAAGGGTGGATCTATTATTGTCCTATATCTTTCAGGTAAAGAAACAAAGAGTAAAGGGGGCAAATAATCACATAAATTACCCACATTCACCCCACTGCCAAGTGGCAGAGCCAGGATTTGAACCCAAATAACTGTAAGACTAATGCCTGGTTCCGTTCCACTAGCTTGCCTGCATCTGTCTTCAAGTTCTGTCTCCCTGCCCATCACTCCCTGCCACTGTGGGTCAGGACAAGTTTGCACTTGCTGGAGGGAAATGTATTTGTCAGTCTAGGGCTACTCAGTATCCAAACAAGTCTTGAGGTGCCCTCTTTGTGTGGGGTAGGGGGATAGATGATTTCTCTTTACACTCTCTGGCAATTCAGTTTTAACTTGGGACCTCCCCACCAAAGACTGAGGAAGAGGTGGTGATTTTTGTACAATGGCAGCATTGAGTGTCCAACAGCTACTCTGCACACCATCACCACTGTCCCCTGGCACAATTTGGCCTTGTTCACAGATGCCTGGCTGCCAATCCCTGCACTTTTTCTCCAGCCTTCCATCAATTGGGGTAGGTGAGGGGGAAGGTGCCATTTAGCAAGCATTTTTGCTGCATAAATTGGCTGGATATGGTTTCTGTGGTCTGAATCCAAGAACCCTGTCTTAGGCATTGGGCCTGTCCTCTTGTATCTCCCGTATCTTATTTATACCCCTCCTCCGACACACCCCTATGGATCTTTACTCCTCACCCACAGTAATCTCTCTAAAGCACAACCCTATTGCCCAGGACTTCAAATTTCCAAACAGCGAAGATCCCACTGCCATGGTCCCCAATTCCTTCATTACCACTGACTTAAGAAGAGATCCCATCACGAATACTACATGGCAATGAGAAAGAATGAAATCTGGCCATGTATAGCAACATGGATGGACCTTGAGGGTGTTATGCTGAGCGAAATAAGTCAGGCAGAGAAGGACAAATAACATATGTTTGCACGTATAGGAGGATTGGGAGGAACTTAACGGAGGACCATGGGGGAGAAGAAGGGGAGAAATGGTGGAGGAAAGGGAGAGAGGTAAACTATGAGAGACTCTTGAATGCTGAGAACAAACGGAGCACTGATGGGTGTGGGGGGGGAGGGGGGAGATGGGCATGGAGGAGGGCACTTGTGGGGATGAGCACCGGGTGTTATATGGAAACCAACTTGACAATAAACTATCTGTAAAAAAAAAAAGAAGAGATCCCATCACATGCAGGGCTCATCAATGAATAAGTAGACTATAAGGAGTCAGCAACCTAGCTTTTTATAAAACTGACCCAAAACTGTGGCAAGTGCTGGGATCAAAAACTACCCATATTCATCACCCCCATGAGAGCCCCAACTTCTGAGATTTCCTTCCTTAGCTGAATGTTCTGCATATTATTTCAGCATAACAGTGAGGCTGGTGTCCAAGGTGGCTCACTCACTCAGCACAAGGCTGATGGGCCCATGGCCTCTCCAGCATGACTGAGTCAGGGGCATTGGGAGCCTCCCAAGAGAACCAGAGTTGCACGGCCTTTGCTGACACTGTCTCAAAAGTCACAGAGTAGCACCTCCCGCATTTTCAACTAGCAGGGCCACATTTTGACACTTTAGAGACCTTGGAACTTTTGCCATAATGGCCCCTTCCTCCATAAAAATATTAACATTTTTTTACAACTGTATTGTTATAAAAATAAGTGTAATCCAGTCTGGATTCATTATTATTTGTTCATTATAATTATATTATTTCTGATTTCATAAGCTGTTGGGCACCATGCCTGCTGTGCCCTATCAATAAGCTGGCTCTGTTGTGATCTAGGCAGCCACAGGTCCAGCCAGAGTCAAGGATAGAATGTAGACTCTACCTTACTATGGAACAAGCACTTGTTTTAATTTTTTATAACATTTTTGAGAGATGGAGTGGGGGAGGGGCCGAGAAAGGAGACACAGAGTACCAAATAGGTTCCAGGCTCTGAGCTGTCAGCACAGAGTACAATGCAGGGCTCAAACTCACAAACCACGATATCATGACCTGAGCTGAAGTCGGACGCTCAACCAACTGAGTCACCCAGGTGGCCCAGAAGCACATGTTTTAAGACCTCCACACTGCACTTGAAAGGCCAGGTGCTGAATAGTAGTCACTCAGCCATAAAAGGCCAGTGCAAAGGGCTCCTCACCATGAGTTCTTCCCAGACTCCCCTCACCCCACTGGAAAAATCTCTTCCACACTCTTGCAGTACTTGATGGTCCTTATGCCATCTTATCCTGCCCTTCCATCTTTTCTTTCTGTCTTTATCCTTCCATTGGCTTCAGGTGCCCAGTACCAAGTCTTATTCACAATCACATTCCCAGAAAAATGTTCTTTATCATCTAAGACAATGCATTTCCTCATGTGGCTTCTGGATTGGTCTCCTCACACTAGACCAGTGGTTCTCAAACTGTGGTCCCTAGGCCAGCAGAATCAGTATCACCTGCGAACTGACTAGAAAGACAAACGCTGGACCACTCCTAGACCTACTAAATCAAAACTCTGGGGGTGGGACCCAGCAATCTGTGTTTATAAGCTCTCCAGAGGACTCCTGCCTGTTCAAGTTTGAGAAACAGGGTCTTCTAACAATTCTTCATGAACGATGTCTTCTTCTTTGCTTAACAAATGTGGTCTGAGCACACAAACCTCAGTTATTCCCCAATGCTCTCAGGAGCTGTGGGGAATGCCCAAGTTCAGGGCTAGGATAAGAGTAAGCAGCCAGATATGAGCTAAAGGAAACTGTAAATCAAGGGCGTTAAAAAAAAAAAAGGAAGAGAGAAACTTTTATTTTAAAATGTTGTATATCCATTTATTCGTGTCTTTCTTCAATTTCCTTCACAAGTTTTCTATAGTTTTCATCATACAGATCTCTCATATCTTTGGTTGGGTTTACTCCTAGGTATTTTATGGTTTTTTGTGCAATTGTGAATGGGATCAGTTTCTTGATTTCTCTTTCTGTTGCTTCCTTATTGGTGTATAAAAATGCAACCGATTTCTGTGAGTTGATTTTGTACCCTGCAACTTTGCTAAATTCATGGATCAGTTCTATTAGGCTTCTGTTGAAGTCTGTTGGGTTTTCTATGTAGAGTATCATGTCGTCTGAGAAAAGTGAGAGTGTGACTTCTTCTTTGCCAATTCTGATGCCTTTGATTTGCTTTTGTTGTCTGATGGCTGATGCTAGGACTTCCAGCACTATGTTAAACAACAGTGGTGAGAGTGGACATCCCTGTTGTGTTCCTGATCTCAGGGGGAAAGCTCTCAGTTTTTCCCCGTTGAGGATGATGTTAGCTGAGGGCTTCTTATAGATGGCTTTCATGATGTTTAAGTAAGTTCCTTCTATAACGACTTTCTTGAGTGTCTTTCTTAAGAAGGGATGCTGTATTTTGTCAAATGCTTTTTCTGCATCTATCGACAGGATCATATGGTTTTTATCTTTTCTTTTGTTGCTGTGATGTATCATATTGATTGATTTGTGGATATTGAACCAGCCCTGTAACCCAGGAATGACTCCCACTTGATCATGGTGGATAATTGTTTTTATATGCTGTTGAATTTGATTTGCAAGTATCTTGTTGAGGATTTTTGCATCCGTATTCATCAGGATATTGGCCTGTAGTTCTCTTTTTTTGCTGGTTCTCTGTCTGATTTGGGAATCAAAGTGATGCTGGCTTTATAAAATGAGTCTGGAAGTTTTCCTTCGATTTCTATTTTTTGGAATAGCTTGAGAAGTATGGGTATTAACTCTGTTTTAAATGTCTGGTAGAATTCCCCAGGGAAGCCATCTGGCCCATGGCTCTTATTTGTTGCTAGATTTTTGATAACTGATTCGATTTCCTCACGAGTTATGGGTCTGTTCAGATTTTCTATCTCTTCCCGTGTGAATTTTGGTAGTGTGCGTGTGTTTAGGAATTTGTCCATTTCGTCTAAGTTGTCCAGTTTGTTGGCATATAATTTTTTATAGTATATAGTATTCCCTGATAATTGCTTGTATTTCTGAGGGATTGGTTGTAATAAGTCCATTTTCATTCATGATTTTGTCTATTTGGGTGCTCTCTCTTTTCTTTTTGAGAAACCTGGCTAGGGGGTTGTCAATTTTGTTTATTTTTTCAAAAAACCAACTTTTGGTTTCATTGATCTGTTCAACTGTTTCTATGGTTTCTATATTGTTTATTTCTGCCCTGATTTTTATTATTTCTCTTCTCCTACTGGGTTTGGGGTGCTCTTTTTGCTCTCCTTCTAGTTCCTTTAGGTGCACTGTTACATTTTGTACCTGCACTTTTTCTAATTTCTTGAAATAAGCTTGGAGTGCAATGTACTTTCTTCTTAGGACTGCCATTGACACATCCCATAGAGTTTGAACTGTTGTATTCTCATTTTCATTGTTTCCATATATTTTTTAATTTCTTTAATTTTCAATTTTCTAATTGCCTGATTAGCCCATTCATTGTTCAGTAGGGTGTTTTTTTAACCTCCATGTTTTTGGAGGTTTTCCAGACTTCTTCCTGTGGTTGATTTCAAGTTTCATAGCACTGTGATATGAAAGTATGCATAGTATGATCTCAATTCTTTTATATTTATTGAGGGCTGCTTTATGTCCCAGTATGCGATCTATCTTGGAGGATGTGCCACACGCACTTGAGAAGAAAGTTAATTCCATGACCTCAGGATGTAGAGTTTTAAATATATCTGTCAGATTCATCTGGTCCTATGTGTCATTCAAGTCCATTATTTCTTTACTGATTTTCTGTCTAGTTGATCTATCCATTGCTGTGAGTGGAATATTAAAGTCCCCTGCTATTAGTAAATTCTTGTCCATAAGATTGTTTCTGTTTGTGATTGTTTTATGTATTTGGGTGCTCCCGTACTCAGTGTGTAGACATTTATA